GTGCTTTGGTGGTCCCGGGGGCGGCCCGTGACGCTCTGTCACCGTGGCGCTCGAGCACCCGTCGAGCTGAACAGCTTACTGTAGCGCCCACAAGCGTGATGGAACGTACGGGGAGGAGCAGGAGATGGATAAAGGAACAAACAACCACGTAAACACAAACTTTTGGAATTCCGCGCGGACTTCCTGGATCCGCGCCGGACCACCCTCCCTGGCGCGCGGAGCGCGCCAGGGGCGGCGCCGGAGGCGCCGCCGGGCCCCCCAGCGCGGATCCAAGAAATCCGCGCGTAGCGCCTCAAGTTTACGCTTATGTTGTCTTTTCTTCTTCGAGTGGAGGCAGCGGACATGGCGGAGGGCCACTCGGCCTCGTGCCAAAACTGCGGCAGAGAGGTATCACCCAGACTGGCTGCAACGATCTGCATGGCAGCTGCCAGTGCCAGTGCCAGACCCAGGCCTCCGCGACGACCACGCTCACAGCGGCAGACGTTTGTCAAGCTCCCTGTGCTCATGCAAGACGCCGGCCCAAAACATAGGCTACGCCCCCTCCTGCGGAGCGAGTCGCAACACCCCCCCAGGGATGGCCCCTGAGAGGCCCGCGGCAGACTCCGAGAGGACCCAAGAAGCGCCTTCCAGGGAGCTGCCATGACCCCCGTAGCACTGAACACTCGGCTTTGTCTCCCCGAAGGCCCAGGATTGGCTACACTGGCCTTCTGGGCCGCCATCAGGCCGCCCAGCGGTCCAGAGGAGCCCGAGGGCGAAGGACCCCGCCCACAGTACGGCCCGAGATAAACCCAGGACAAGTCACGTCCAAGATGGCTCCTCGAAAACCCTTACGACGTGCCCTGGATCATCCAAGAGGGCGAGAGAATCTCGAAGAGCAGGCTTCCAGAGAGGCAGTGCGAGGAGCCCCAGGGCCCGAACAAGACGCTCCCTGGAGGCCCCCCAGGAGGGCCCCAAGTGGTAGAGCCACAACGGCGACGCGCTGCTTCGCGAAGTGACGTGCCGGATCTGGGCAATGCGCAGACGTCGGGCTGGCTCCCAAACGGCGGATACGCGCGCTGGGTAAATAAGGGGCATGCGCGTGCCAGAGTAGAGCGTCAGCTAAGGACATCCCTTGTGCCACCTCTGACGCTCCTCAAAATATTGATGGCAAACCCATGGGATCGATAAGCCCACCTGGCGGAATGCCAATGAACAATCGCGGTCGATGACCTACTAATTCAGTCGTATGTGTTAGTATGGGTGCGACACAGTAGGGGCTCAACCACAAGAAACTTTCCGCAAGAGACCTAACCCTGAGACCCCAGGACGTCCATTGTTTTTTGGTGTGGGAGCGTCACGCCTTCCACAGCAAAACCATCGAAACCCAAGAAACCCAGGGCACCTGGAGGCAAGCAGGGTGTTTCTTGGCATGGGCCTCCACTGTAAGAGCACATGCTTGCCAGCGCGGACCTCAAACAAAGGGGCGTTGCGATGTGGATGAGGCTATCTACGTGTTCTGTTCTCTGATGGGTGGCCTTGAAGGCTGACCTCTCCGTCTGCTGACGGCTGCTTTGTCGCGGCACTCCGAGGCCTGGCCCTCGTCCTGCTCCCGACACCAAGCTTCTCTCTTCTCCTCCTCCTTCTCCTCCTTCCTCCTCCTCCTCCTCCCTCCTCCTCCTTCCTCCTCCTCCTCCTCCTCATCCCTCCTCCTCCTCCTTCTCCTCTTCCTCCTCCTAAAATTGGAAAGTTGTATGGGAAACGTGTTGCTTCGAGTGCCGTCGCATGTGCTCGTCAAGAGTCCTCACAGCCTGTTGCCCTGCACACTTGTATAGTGAACGTACTTTCTTATCATTCGAATGCTGTCGCATGCGTTCGTCAAGAGTCCTCACAACCTATTGCCCTGCACGTCCGCAGAGCCCTGGCATCCGCACGGCGCGCCACGTGAACGCCGACTATCCACCTGACGAGCCTGCCGTGCGACCCGTCAACTCGTCCCCTCCTCCCGCATGATGCAAGGTCACGCGCTCAAACCTATAGGAAGAAGGAATGGGGAAGGGCAAGGGAAAGAAGGCGCTGTAAGTATGGATGCGGGTTGTCGGACCCCGAGTGGGTCGCCCATTTGAGCGGGGGCCGCTATCCGACAACACCCACACATAGCCCCACACTGAACTCCACCCCGAGAAGCCGAGGGGTCGCACAGGGATGTGTGCTAATCGTCAACGCATGACCTCAGCCATTCTGGTCGTCAGCGTGGGCGTGACCAATACCTCCAAGCTTCAGGCAACACCTCTCACGCGAACCACACCGCCCACCAGGAGGCGACCGCAGCGTCGCATCATGGAGAGCATCTAGACGAAGAAACAACGTCATAATCATAAACTTTTGGCGCTCGGCGCGGATTTCTTGGATCGGCGCTGGACCCCCCTACCTGGCGCGCGGAGCTCGCCAGGGGCGGCGCCGGAGGCGCCGCCGGGGTGCCCAGGCCGGATCCGAGAAATCCTCGCCGACCTCTAAGTTTTCATGTTTGTGTCATTATTCGTTTCCCCTCTGAAGAGGGACCGTGCATGGGGAGCTGCCTAGGCGCAGCGCTGTGCCAGCCCCACCATTCCTGACCTCAGGCTCAGCATGCTTACGCTGCCATCGCACCCGCGAGCCGCTTCGCAGGCCTGCGCCGTCATCGGGCACGCAACGGCAGCTGAAGCTCCATGGGCTCGATGCGAGAATTGCTAGACCTCTTTGGGGTCTTTGGGGAAGCTAGGAGGGTACCCACACCGTTCCTACGCGGACCTCACCCAGGGTGCACTCTGACCAGAATTTCGGGACGAATCAGGCAGTGGGGGCAAGGGCCTCCCAAGAAGCCCAAACAAGCGAAAAAAAGAAGGGTAGCGGTAGCGGTATCGGTACCCTTTCCTCTCCTGTGACTCTCCCCCTCCCCCAGCCCTCATGATCACCACAAGTGCCACTGCCCGTTCACGCCAGGCAGGCAAGCCCCCCCGACTCCTCATGCGGCTGACAGGCTCGCATGCCCGCGGTGCCGTCGCTCCCGCGCGGCAGAGACACGGGAGCTGGAGCAGGAGCAAGATCAGCAGTCGTGAGGGATGGAAAGAGAGAGAGAGAGGGGATGCGGCGGGAGGAAGGCGGGAAGAGAATACCACACTGCACCCATGGCCCATTGGTGCATCTTCAGAAACCGCGGCACTTCGGCCTCGACCAGCAGAGCACAATCGAAGTGCGCCACGGCCAGAGGGCCGAGGAGTACAGCTGAGGGGTCAAACCCACTCAGCGCGGGGTGAGGTAGCACGGCGCATCCAGGCATCGGAGGCGGCACCGGTCGCAGGCCAACTAATAGCATATCGCTGGCCATAGCCAAATTATAGTACATGGAGGCATCGAGCTCATCCATCTGAAGCTAGAACTCACGAGTTGAACTGATCTTAGCAACATCCACGCTGCCTATTTGATGTCCGCCTCCTCCTTCTCCACCTCCACCCCTGCTCCTCCGCACCATCTGACGCAAGGACGCAGACGCCAACTACTGACACGCAAGAGAAATCCCACCTGCCCTTTCGGACGTAGGTGATTTAGAACGTTTCCTCTTCAAACCCCCTGCTCCTACCCCCACACCCTCCTCAATCCCCCTGGGTCTGGACGTGAGGGGATCGCGAGGCGTTGGGGCGTTCAAGACGGCGCAATATGTTTCCGAGATGACCCAATAGAACGCAAGACCCTCCCAAGATGGCCTCAAGTGGCTACTGAGCACACCAATGAAGCTCCCGAGACGCCATCATCCTACGGGAAATGAATGCTTGTTGCATTATCGCTCTTTCGTTCCCAATGGCCTTCGAGTCCCCAGGAGGGCTCCAAGATGGCCAAAGAGAGCTCCAAGAGGGGCCCCAAGACGGCCCTAAGAGCGCCCAAGAGCAGCCCCAAAGGCCCCCGAGCGGCGATCTTCTGGACTCTAGGGTGGGTGGGTGGGTGTGTGTGGGGGGTTCTAGGGTGGGTGGGTGGGTGTGTGGGGGGGGTGGGGGGCAAGGCTGACTGACCACTACATGTTCTTTGATCGATCGCCTCCCAGATGGCCCCAAGTGCACCCCCACGGGGGCCCCAAAAGGATCCCAAGAGGGCCTCAGTCGAGCCCTCAGACTGGCCACAATATTGCCAAAGTAAGCTGCCAACAAGCTCCCATATCGAATACTTGTTGCATCGGCGGCTAGGCAGAGTACCTGCGCTGGCGGAGGAGCTATACAAACGGTGCCACCGTTGGAGCGAATTGTCTCACAATGAAGGAAAATTTGAGAAGACAGGCAGGGCGGCCGAATGGCGGTGAGGAGGGCTCCCAGACCGAACACATCCGCGCAGGCATGTCTTGCTGACTCGTGGGCCTGCTGCGGCTGGTCCCGATCTTCGGCTTGACAATTGCCCCACTCTGTGCTCCACTGCGTGCATTCACACTTCCCCATCCTCCTCCTCCTCCTCCACCACCATACCTTTCTCGTCCTCCTCGTTTTCCTCTTCCTCCTCTTCCTCTTCCTCCTCCACCTCCTCCTGCTCATCCTCCTCCTCCTACTGCCCCTCCCCCTCCCCCTACCCCTACTCGCCTGGGCATCGTTGCTGGACGGGCTGGTGGGGATGCGCGAAGCGCCAACATAATAGTTATTGTAACAACGAACAGATCACTGATTGCCGAGCTTGCTTGTTTGCGACTGCTGGGGCCACGCTTCGCAGGATATCCGCGACGTTCACACTGCGCGCTAATCAGGGCGGCTTGCAGCGGGCGCGTAGCCAACCTTGGCTGAACGCCCCTGCTGTGCAACCAGCAGAAGCTCGCGCACGGGGGGCAATAGGGGGAGCTGCTGAGAGGAGCATTTGAGGAGAGGCTCAGGGTCAAAAGTCCGCCCCCCCCCCCGGGTAGGCAAACCTTCGGCAGCAGGGCTCCGTCGGCCCCTCCTTCGGTGCGAAGAAGCCCGCGCGGCGCCGGGATATGCCCGCGGGAATGCCCGCCTCGGGGGCAGCGCGAATTCTTAGGCACGGAGGCGGCCGCAGGCACCCCACAGGAGCGCCCAGTTGTAGATGACCAGGCCGAGGCAGATGAGCAGCAGGCCCGCCACGAGCCTCATCGAGAAGGGCTCCGGCGGACCGAGCAGCGGGAGCCCCAGGGGCAGGCAGAAGACCAGCGAGGACAGCGGCACCGAGAACAGGTTTGCCAGCATCGAGGCCAGAGAAGAGAGCCGACGGACGGCCCGGAGGGACGCCAAGCGGTATGAAATGTTGCCCGCCCAGTAGAGGATCAGGAGCCCCGGCATCAAACCCTCCACGCTGAAGAATGCCTCCCGCGCTGCCTGGAAGTACAGCCGTGGGGGCAAGCCCGTGAGCAGCACGAAGTTCATGGGCCACTGGAGGGCCAGAGCTACGCACTGCCCAATGGCAGCGAGCCCCTCGAGAAAGAAGAGGTCCAGCTTGCAGCCCTCCCTCTCGCTGCGCACGAAAGCGACGTCCTTGAAGACGAAGGACATCCCCAGGAGGAAGTAGGCCAGCGCGGATCCGAAGATTGGCATGGCGAGCTCCCCGGGGCCGAGGCTCATGGCGGAGTGGCCGCTCTCACTCGCGGACGCGACGTAGATGCCCATGGTGGTGACCACCACGCCCCCAACTTGCACCTTCGAGTACTTCCTCCTCAGCAGAACGGTGTTCAAGAGCATGCTGGTGGGAAGCAGCGTCTGCGACATCAGCGGCGCGATGGCCTTTGGAAACCTCGGCAGCACCAGAGGCAGCATCGTGAACGCCGCGCTCTCGCAGACCCCGATGCTGGCCAGGAGATCCCAGTGCCTGTGAAGGAGAGTGTTCGGGGGGGGGGACCGGCTCAAAGGGGGGGAAGCATCGAGCCTGAATCGGCGATACATCTCCGATGGATCGGCAAAAGGCTCCCGATAGCGAAGCTGCAAGTTCCTGGGCGGAGCGGGCTATCCGGCCCGTGCCGGCGATCAATGGGCGAAGGGGGGTCGATGTGTTCACTGCGGTGTCTGCTCCATGGGGAGCCTGCGTGGCCCGCCGTGCTGTCCCCAGTTGACCTGGTTAAGATCGGATTTGGAACATGTTCGGGACCAGATTTGGACTGGATTCGCCCCTTCGTAAGGGAGACGAGAGGAGCAAGGAGGGGGAAGAGGAACAGGAGAGACAAGGAGGAGCAAGAGGAAAGGCCCGAAGCGGTCAAAAAGCGGGAAAAGCGGAGTTCAATGCCGCTACCCAAGACTCCTGTGAACGGACATCGAGGTTCCCCCCGCGTTCGGTGGCAACTCATGGGAGCCTCCCATACCATGTTGTCGGCTCTTGCGAATCGACGCTGGTTCGACGCAAATCGACGCTAGTCGACGCTAAGTCGGCGCAATCGCGTCGATTACCAGTCTCTAGCCGCTAGCCGACGCCAATGCGCTTTGAAAATGGAATTTTGCCAGGGTGTACCGAACCAGCGTCCATGTCCTCCACCCCCCCCTAACGCTGCCAGCCTACAGGCGAAGCGCACCATCTTGCGGAGGTCCTCGCGCTGCTCGCTGGAGCCCCAGCGTGCCTTCAGCAGCACGGCGAACCACGAGTTGCACAGGTAGGCGACGTTGGTGCTGCAGGAAAGCGTGTGGACGTGCTTGCTGGTCGGGCATTGCTTACTGGAGGGCAATACATGGGGGGAACGCGCACATCTTGGGGTCACAGGGGGGCCCTTTGGGGCCGAAGAGGTGCACCTTTCTTCACCCCCCGACGTATCGCCGCTCCATTACGCAACGCCCGCGCTGGTGACCACGAGGACCATCCGGAAGAGGACCTTGTTGATCACGCTGAGCGTGATCATCAGAGCGAAGACGCTGAAGACTGGTGCCGCGCGCCGCGCTGCCCCCAACAGCTCCTGTCGCCACCCCTCGCGCTGCAATCTGTCGTCGCCCGCCTGGCTGCGCTTCTGCACCCCCGACAGGATGGAATTGAGTATGTCTTCTGGAACGGTGTAGCTCGTCCGCTTGTTCCTGGGGATGCCGCTGCACCCCGGACCTCTCCCGCGTTCGAAGCGAATCCAGCGGTGGCGACGAGGGCCTCCGGGGAGGCCCCAAACAGGGGAAGACGATGGAAAGGTAGCGGTATGGGTACCTCTTCCTCCGACGACGAAGGGGGCTAACGAGGGCAGGGCAGCGGTAGGGGTACCATTTCTCCTCCTCCGAGCTCCGCTTCGTCGGCGGCGGGTCGTCGCACGGGGTGGGCAGCGGCATCGTCCACAGCTTCTCCCGCACGCTCGTCGGGTCTCGGACCAGCCTCCAGAGCGTGACCGCCGGAAACGCCAGGAGCAACGCGCACAACGCCGCCCACACTGGGGGCAGCTGGACCACCTGGCCGGCCCCAGAAACCCCGAGGGCCATTGCCTTAAAGGACACTCTGCTGGGAGAAAGTCAACGTTTTCTTGATCGGCGTTTCGACATTGGGCGGAAGGGGGGTGGGACGGGGGGGGGTCCGGCTCTGGACCTCTGCCTAACGCGACTGTTTGCAACAGTGCGTCCTATGGGGGAGACTCTACCTGCTCGAAACAGGCACCAAAAATAGCCGAGATCTTCGCCACGGTGAGGGAGGGGGGATGCGAGGGCCCACGCCGATCGGCACAACAATGAAACAGAAAACGATCACATAGGATCAGATCATCAACATTGCCGCGTACGTTGAGGAGGTTTCTTCCACAGTCATAGTCCTTTATCTTCCCAACCCTTTCCTAACAATAAAAAGAAAACGATCACAAAAGATCGGATCATCAATATTGCCGCGTACGTAGAGGGTGCTTCCCCCGTCGTAGTCCTACATCTTCCCAACCCCTTCCTCCCGGCACGATAACTGTTGTTTGCTGATTCTCGGGGGCGCGCTACATGAATTAGCGATCCATGGATTTTGCGCGCCGTCGCCAAATCCATGGATCGGGGGATGTGTGCTCCCCAAAATGCGGCCAATGCCGCCTCGCTCGGCGGCGGAAATCTGCGACTTCCTAGGGAAACGGAACCCGTCGCTAATCCACGCCCCCTTGATCCATGTTTACGATCACCTGATGTATCTTCCCGACCCCTTCCTCCCAGCACGATAACGGATTGCTCGCTGATTCCACGGTCGTAGTCCCACATCTTCCCGACCCCTTCCTCCCAGCACGACAGCTGGTGTTCTCACACTGACAATAGCCTCTCCCGGGGGGGTGCGCCTTCCCTCCCGCCAGCTTCCGGTTCGACCATCCGCCGACGCTTCACGTCCGCCCGCCTTCCCCCGGCCTCCGCCCCAAGGGCACCAGCTCGAGGCATCCGACGCCGTGTGTGTGTGTGTGTGTTTGTGCGAAAGGTGGCTTCCCAGTCGTAGAGGCCTCCCAGATGGGGTCCGAGTAATCTCGCGGCATCGCCGATGCATCGGCCGTGCCGTGGCGACGTTGGCAACGCATCAGCGACGTCGACGTGGAGCAACTCGGGCTCCGCATCGAGCAGCACCGCCGATGCATCGGCGACGCGGCGCGATCCTCCGACCCCCACCTTTGGGGGCCACATGCGAACCCTAACCCTACCCCCCACGATTTCTGAGGGGGAGGGCGGGGTTCACTTAGTTCGGGAGCTCCCGAGCGAAATGAACCCCACCCTCCCCCTCAGAAATCGTGGGGGGGTAGGGGTAGGGTTCACATGTGGCCCCCACCACCTGCTCCGGTCCCACCTGGGAGGCCTAGAGTTCGGCAGCACGCCAAGAGTGGCCCTGGCCAAGCGCGACCTCTGGTGGTGCGCGGCTTTCGGTGGGGCGCGGGGGCGCAGAACCCAGGCGCGCAGACCGCTGCTGCACACTCGCGCCGCACTCGGCGATCTCGGGGACTCCAAAGGTTCCTCCTCCTCCTCCTCCTCCTCCTCCTCCTCAAACTCCTCCTCCTCCTCCATTCCTCTTTGCCCTTTCCCCCTCCCCCTCGAACCAAAGGTCCTGAAACCTACACCCGCAACCCTATGGCCCAAGAGCCGCGTGTCCCTTCGCACTCCAGGGGTCGAGGGGGAGGGGGAGGGCCCCGCTCGAGGTATCGAGGGGGGGAGGGCTCCCCTCGAGGCGGGGGAGGGCCCCCCTCGACGGATTGAGGAGAGGGGGGGGGAGGGCCTCCCCCCTCGAGGGATCGGGGGGGGGGGGCAAGGGTCACTCTTCCGTGGGACCCACCCACAAATGAAGCCTGAAAACTCCTCCCTGGGGACCGGCCGTTTCCCTCCAGAGTCGTTGTTCGACGGCCTCTGGAGGCCAGGACAAACGGCCTCCAGAGGCCCCGCCGCGATTCTCACTTGCCGCCGCCTGGCCGAAGCCCTGCCCGGGGACCGCCTTTCCATCCAGAGTCGTTGTTGGACTGTCACGAGGCCAGGGCAAACGGCCTCCAAAGGCCGAGCGCGTCCGAGACCTCCCGCCGCGGTTCTCTCCTCCCGTCGCCTGGTGCTGCGGGAACGCTTCGATCCCTCGATCGTGGGCGTGGAAGACAAGAAAAGGAGAGACCCGATCATCGGAACGAAATGGAAACTAAGGGCGGGAAAAGGGATTACAATTCAGGAAAGGGAGAGAGGAAGAAAGAACCGAGAGGACATAGTAAAAGAAGGAGAGATAGAGAGACACAAAGAGAGAGGGATGGCATCGGCCATTTCGTCAAGGCGAAGCGCGGACGGGCGCAAACATCGGACCAGGACAAATCGGGGACCTCTGAGATCTGGCGGTTCTGGAGAATGTCTCTGGCGCCGCAACTGTTCCAGACCGATCTGTAACGCTCTGAGAGCGTTCTGCAACTCTTTGACACCCAAATCATTGGATGCTGGAATTGTTGGATCGTGATCGTGAGTGGCCGATCGGCACTCCAAATTGGCCGCGACCGATCACGACCGATACCAGAATTCGAAGAAAAATCAGTGGCGAGCGATATCGTCGGTCGCGACTGAAACTTTACATCCAATACATCAGTAGATGTTTCCTGGATGGGATCGGAGTAGATGGGGTCGGAGGGTCGCGCCGCATCGCCGATGCATCGCTGATGTATTGGCGATGCATGAACGATGTTGGCGGTGCGTCGGCGATGTCAACGTGGAGGAAATCGCCGCCTCATCGAGCCGCATCGCCGATGCATCGGCGATGGCCAGATGTGGGGGGCCTGGAATCCCGGGCACTGTGCATCCCTGTCCTGCATCCCCGCCAGGTTCGTGGCGCGCCCCGTGGGCGCCTCGGGCCAGCTGGCGCGGCCCTGGCCCGCGCACCCCGAGCCAAGCGAGCCGCCAACCCCGGATCCCAGAGGTCGCGACCGAAAAACTCGGGCATCCAATGATCAGGGAAACTATCTTCCCCAGTCCTATAGGGTCTGGCGGCGCGCGCAAGGAGGATGGGAGGAGGGGGGAAGGCTCCTTAGAAGGAGACTCTGCTTAAAAAAAGGCGCCAGCCTTGCGTCTATAGATACAGCCCGCCCCTTCTAAGATCCAGCCTCCTGCTGCGAAGCCTTCCCTTAGGTCGGGCGTGTCCCCCTACAGGCGGATTTTGGACGAAACATGGAAAACATACATACTCCAAAAATATTCAAAAGTTGTCTATAAATCGTCCCCATATTATTTTTGGTCTATTTGGGAATATTCCCCCTGTAGAGGCACAGGCCCGAATTAAGTCTTCCCTCCTCCCCCTGACCGGCCGAAGGATAGCTCCGCTTGTGTTGCTCCCACTGTACCTGAGGACAACATCCCAGACATGATTTCGAGCTGATGGGCCTGTTTTCCACCACCACCACCATGAGTTGGAGGGGGGAAGGAGGAGGAGAACGAGAAGGAGGACGAGTCGGAGGAGGAGGAGGAGGAGGTGGAGGAGGAGGAGGAGGACCCCCTCCCTCTTCAACTTATGGTGCTGGTGGTGTAAAACAAACCCATCATCGAGCACCCCGAAAATATCGTAGCAGTGTCTGTCCGACACGCTGGCGAGGTGCGGGACAAGTCTCGCCCCCCCAGGGCCCGACACGTGAAAGAGTGCTGCAGCTTTGATGCTGTCTTCCTTGGTGCTCCAAGCTGCTGCTCGCCATAAAGCTCCGACAGGTTTGGGTCCTACACTTAAAGCGCCCTGCAGCTTCGATACATTCTTCCTTGGTACTCCAAGCTGCTTCTCGTGATCAAAGCTACAGAAGGTTTGAACATCATAAAACTTCGCCCGATTCGGGCCCGACGCGTAAAAAAACTGCAGCTGCGATACTTTCGTGGTGCTCGAAACTCTTTCTGGTGATCAGGGCTCAAGAAGGCTGGACAATCAAACAACTCCGCCCGATTCTGGGGAAACCAAAAGGTACCGACACCGCTACTCTCTAATTAGACCTCTCTCAAGGTGCATGCTGACCAGCTCTCGAGGCGAGTCCCGCGGCAGCGACGAGGGCCTCCCAGGAGGCCCGTATACAAGGGAGAAACGGGCGGAGGGCAGCGGCATGGGTACCCCTTCCTCCTCCCCAGACCCCCGACGTCATTATTTGTTCACAACGTCGACCCTAGAAGTCCCGACCCTTTCTCGGTGACAGGCTTTCCATCCCGAATCGTTTTTTGACGCTCCCGAGGCCTGGTGTTAGGTCGGACATGTCCCCCTGCAGGCGGATTTTGGACGAAAAATGTTAAATATCAGAAAAAAAAGGAATCGAAAATACTTGAAAAATCGTTCCCATACTATTTTTTGACTATTTTGGAATATTCCCCCTATACAGGGACAGGCCCGACTCAAGCCTGGTGGGGGGCCCCTGAATCCGAAAATCGTCAAAAATATCGCGTCGTGGTCATCGCACAAAAATCACGACCGGACCCCCGGACCCAATACTTCTGCGTCATTCTTCGAACCGCTCGATATGTGAGGGCCACGGGGCCGGAAACACGGAGCGAAAACGCCCAGCTCGAAAAAATGGAGCCGACAAGATCTCGGAATGTGTCCTTCCTCCCGTCGTGACTTTGTCGCAGCGCGAGGGCTTCTGGGTCTCGTCGCCGTCGTCGTCCCCAGACCCCCGACGTGACGTCATGATTTTTTCATAACGTCGACCCCCAGAGTTCTGGACCCCTTCCCCGGGACCGGTTTTTCATCCTGAGTCGTTTTTTGACGGCCCCGAGGCCCGGCAAAGGCCCCTAGAGGACGAAAATTGCGAAAAACCTCCGTTTTTGGATCTCTGGATCGTCGTCGTCGTCGTCGTCGTCGTCGTCGTCGTCGTCGCCTCCGAGACTCGCTCGGAGCGCCCCGCGGGTCGCGCCTCGGGCCAGTGGGCGCCTCCCCGAGCCAGGCGCGCCCCGAGCCAGGCGAGGCCCGACGCCCCTGGCGAGGGCCCGCCAGCCCCGGCGGGGCCCGCGGGGCCCGAAACGCCGCCGCCGAGGAGCGCTGGCCGCGCGCCCAGCAGCGCCTGGGTTTGCACCGGGGGGCTCCTGCCAAGAGCACACCACCACCACCAGAAGTTGAATGGGGAGGGGTTCCTCCTCCTCCTCCTCCTCCTCCTCCTCCTCCTCCTCCTCCTCCTCCTCCTCCTCCTCCTCCTCTTCGTCCTCCTCGTCCTCGTCCTCCTCCTCCTTCCCCCCTCCAAGATACCCCGAGCACCCCGAAGATATCGTGGCAACCCGAAGATATCGTAGCAGTCCCAGACGCCCTCGAGTCAGGAAGAAATCACGACGGGAGGTTTTTCGCTCTTTTCGGCCTCGGGGGGCCCCTGCCGGGCCTCAGGAGCATCCAAAAACGACTCGGGATGAAAAGCCGGTCCCAGGGAATGGGTCCAGACCTTTTGGGGTCGACGTCGTGAAAAAATCACGACGTCGGGGGCCCATGCCAAGAATAGAGGCCTCCTAGATGGGCTCCGAGTAAATTGGGTCCAAGGATCGCGCCGCATCGCCAATGCATCGCCGATGCATCGGCGATGTATCGGCGACGTCGGCGATGCATCGGCGACGTCGGCGTGGGCAACACGGTCTCCACATCGAGCCACATCGTCGATGCATCGGCGATGCGGCGCGAGCCTCCGACCTCATCTACTCGGACCCCACTAGGAGGCCTAGGAAGAAACACCCTGCTTACCTCCAGGGTGCCCTGGGTGTCGATGGCTCTGCTATGGAAAGCGTGAGGCTTCCACACCGAAAACGCATAGACGTCCTGTGGTTTCAGGGTTGGGTTTCTTGCGGAAGGTCTCTTGTGGTCGGGCTCCTACTGTGGGTCGGGCATGTCTGAAGGGGCCCAGGGACACACAAAGAAAGAGACACAGATGCTATGATTCCCCATATTCTCCCATGTTTTTTCTGAGAATCGACGATGAATTCTGAAAGTGTATGTTTTCCATCCTGGTTTAGGTCGGGCATGTCCTCCTACAGGCGGATTTTGGAAGACGAACTAAAAACTAGAAACACAATACTCGTTGTATGGTAGTAGTAGCACAACTAATCGTCGACAGGCTATGTTTTAACACTATATTTGTGTAGAGGGACATGCCCGTCTGAAGCCTGCGTGGCGAGGCCTTGTTGCGGATCGACGCTGATCAGCGCTGAAACCGGCGCTTTCTCATCGACTGCCAGGGACCAGCGCGCGAATGCACCCGAAAGACAAGTTACTGAGTAGGACATCCGAGGCTCCCGTTATTTGATACACCGGGCACCGACCATCGATTTCGCCACGTGCTCGACGAATTCCGAACCCCACCCCCGCCGCCCACCGAGTTGCCTGAATCGTTCGCTGATCGGCGAGGACAGGGTTTGAATTTCGCTGCCGACTGCCATCGCCATCGTCGGGACGGGCAGGCCACTACGCAAGACTTCCGCCCGCCAGCGCCCTCGTCGGGACGGGCAGGACACCCCGCAAGACTTCCACAAACGAGGCGCTGCCTGCGCACGCTCTGTCTCGCGGAGCGACCACCCCGCAAGGGGCTGCGGGGGGGAGGCCGCTCCGCTCGTGGGGCCGTCGCCGTCGCCGTCGCAGTAGCCGTGGCCGTGGCCGCAGCGGCCGCCGCCACCGTCGCCGCCGCCGACGCCGCGGTCGCCATCGTGGTCGTCGTAGTCGTCGTCCTTATCGTCGGAGTCGTCGTCGTCGTCGTCGTCGTCGTCGGCGTCGGCGTCGGCGTCGGCGTCGGCGTCGGCGTCTTCGTCGTCGTCATCGTTGTCGACGTCGGCGTCGTCGTCGTCGCTGTCGGCGGCGGCGGCAGCGTCGGCGTCGGTGTCGTCGGCGTCGTCGTCGTCATCGGCGGAGGCGGCGGCGTTGGCGTCGGCGTCGGCATTGGCGTCGGCGTCGGCGTCGTCGTCGGCTTCGGCGTCGGCAACGTCCTCGGCGTCGTGTCGGCGTCGTCGTCGTGGTCGGCGTCGTCGTCGTCGTCGACGTCGTCGTCGGTGCTGGTGGCATCGTCGTCAGCGTCGGCGTCTCGTCGTCGGCGTCGGGGTCATCGTCGTCGTCGGCGTCGACGACGTCGGCGTCGTCGCCGTCGTCGCTGTCGCTGTCGCTGTCGGCGGCGGCGTATGAGTCGTCGGCGTCGGCGTCGGCGCCGACGTCGGCGTCATCGTCGGCGTCGTCGGTGGCGGCGTCGTCGTCGGCGTCGTTGTCGTCGTTGTCGTCGTCGTCGGCGGCGGCGGCGTTGGCCTCGGCGTCGGCGTGGGCGTCGGCGTCGTCGGCGTCTCGGCGGCATCGACGTCGGCGTCTCGGCGTCGTCGTCGGCATCGTCGGCGGCGACGGCGTCGCCGTCGTCGTCGCGGTTATCGTCGCCATCGTTGTCGCCGTCGGCGTCGACGTCGGCGTCAACGTCGTCGTCGGCGTCGTTAGCGTCGGCGTCAGCGTCGGGGGCGGCGTCGACGTCGTCGGCGTCGTCGTCGGCGTCGTCGTCGCCGTCGTGGCTTCGGCGTCGCGTCGGCGTCGGCGTCGGCGGCGGCGTCGTCGCCGTCAGCATCGGCGTCGGTAGTCGTCGTCGTCGTCGGCGTCGACGTCGACGTCGGCGTCGACGTCGGTGTCGGCGGCATCGTCGGCGGCGTCTGCGTCGGCGTCGGCGTCTCGGCGTCGTCGTGGTTGTCGTCGTCGTCGGCGTCGTCGACGTCGGCGTCGTCGTCGTCGCAGTCGGCGGCGGCGGCGGCGGCGTCGGCGTCGGCGTATGCGGCATCGGCGCCGGCAACGGCGTCTAAGGCGTCGGCGTCGTCGGCGGCGGCGTCGTCGTCGTCGTCGTCGTTGTGATCGTCGTCGGCGCGGTCGTCGTCGTCTTCGTCGTCGGCGTCGTCGACGTCGGCGTCGGCGTCGGCACCGTCGGCATCGGCGTCGGCATCGGCGTCGGCGTCGGCGTCGTTGTCGTCGGCGTCGCCGTCTCGGCGGCGTCGTCGTCGTCGGCGTCGGCGTCGTCGTCGGCGTCGGCGTCAACGTCGGCGTCGTCGTCGTCGTCGTCTTCGTTGTCGCCGTCGGCGTCAACGTCGGCGTCGGCGTCGTAAGCGTCGGCGTCAGCGTCGGAGTCGTCGGCGTCGTCGGCTTCGGCATCGGCGTCGGAGGCGTCATCGTCGTCGGTGTCGTTGTCGGGTCGTCGTCGTCGGCGTCGTCGTCGTCGACGTCGGCGTCGGCGTCGGCGTCGTCGTCGTCGTCGTCGTCGGTGTCGCGTCGACGTCGGCGTCGGCGTCGGCGTTGGCGTCGGCGTCGGCGGCGCCGGCGTCGCCGTCGTCGTCTCGGCATCGTCGTTGGCGTCGGCGTCGGCGTCGGCGTCGTCGTCGTCGTCGTCGGCGGCGGCGTGGTCGTCGACGGCGTCGTCGCCGTCGGCGTCATCGTCGTTTTCGTCGTCGCCGTCGCCGTCGTCTTCATCTTCGTCGTCGGCGTCGGCGTCGTCGTCGTCGGCGTCGTCGTCGGCGTCGGCGTCGACGTCGATGTCGGCGTCTTCTTCGCCGTCGGCGTCGTCGGCGTCGTTGAGGTCGTTGGCGTCGGCGTCAGCGTCGGCGTCGTCGTCGTCGTCGTCGTCGGCGGCAGCGTCGGCGTCGGCGTCGGCGTCGGCGTCGGCGTCGGCGTCGGCGTCGGCGTCGGCGCTGGCGCTGGCGCTGGCGTCAAAAACAGTATCTGCTGCGTCGGCGTCGTCGTCGGCGGCGGCGTCGTCGTTGGCGTCGTCGATGGCGTCGTCGTCGTCGGCGGCGGCTGCGTCGGCGTCGGCGTCGGCGTCGGCGTCGTCGTCGGCGTCGTCGTCGGCGTCGTCGTCGTCTGCGTCGTCGTCGGCGCCGTCGTCGTCTGCGTCGTCGTCGTCGTCGTCGTCGTTGTCAACGTCGTCGTCGGTGGCGGCGTCGTCGTCGGCGTCGGGGTCGGCGTTTTCCGGGTCGGCGTCGGCGGCGTCGTCGACGTCGGCGTCGTCGTTGTCGGCGTCGGCGTCGACGTCGTCGGAGGCGGGCGTCGTGCGTCGGCGTCGCGCCGTCGTCTTTGACTTTCGGCGTCGCGTCGACTGTCCGTCGTCGGCGTCGTCGTCGTCGTCGACGTCGTCGTCGACGGCGGCGTCGGCGTCGGCGTCGGCGTCGGCGTCGGCGTCGGCGTCGGCGTCGACGTCGTCGGCGTCGGCGTTGGCGTGAGCGTCGGCGTCGGCAGCGGCCTCGGCGTCGGCGTCAGCGTCGGCGTCGGCGCCGGCCTCGTCAACGGCGCCGTCGTCGTCGTCGGCGGCGTTGGCGTCGGCGTCGGCGCCGTCGTCGTTGGCGTCGGCGTCGGCTTCGGCGTCGTCGTCGGCGTCGGCGTCAGCGCTCGCGTCGGCGTCGGCGTCGGAGTCGTCGTCCGTCGTCGGCATGAGGTCGGCGTCGGTCCGTCGTCGGCGTTAGTCGTTGGCCGCGTCGGCGTCGGCGTCGGCGTCGACGTCGTCGGCGTCGGCGTCGGCGTCGGCGTCGACGTCGGCGTCCGGCGTCGTAAGGTCGGCGTCGTCTGCGTCAGTATCGTCTGGGTCGGCGTTGTCGGGGGTCGAACGTCGGCGGCTGCGAGCGGCGTCGGCGTCGGCGTCGTCGGCGTCGGCGTCGTCGGCGGCGGCGTCGTGCGGCGGCGTGCGGCGTCGTCGCGTTGGTCGTTGGCCGTCGGGCGTCGGCTCTCCGACGTCGTCCGTCGGTACGTCGTCGTCGTCGACGTCGTCGTACGACGACGGCGTGCGGCGTCGGCGTCGGCGTCGGCGTCGGCATCGGCGTCGGCGTCGGCGACGACGTCGTCGGTGTCGGCGTTGGCGTCAGCGTCGGCGTCGGCGTCGGCGTCAGCGTCGTCGTCGGCGCCGGCCTCGTCAACGGCGCCGTCGTCATCGTCGGCGGCGCGGGCGTCGGCGTCGGCGCCGTCGTCGTTGGCGTCGGCGTCGGCGTCGGCGTCGTCGTCGGCGTCGACGTCAGCGCCCGCGTCGGCGTCGGCGTCGGAGTCGTCGTCGTCGGCATCGACGTGGGCGTCGTCGTCGTCGTCGGCGTC